ATTATTTTTTAAAGGCATTTTTTCTATAGAAATCTTAAATTTTAACGCAAAATCAAAGATATTCTAAGAAAAAATCAAATATATTCTGTTACCTTAGCAATTTATTCTTTCTAATATTACTTTCCGTCGTGATTGATGCCGGTTGTGTTGTGAACATGCCGCTGACATAAATTCGGCCATACATCATGTGACGTAACAAGTCACAACTAATCATCCTCGTGAATCGGGCAACATCATAACAAACAATAACCGTCCGCCCGACCTTATTGTCGGCACTGTAATGTACTGATTTAAATCGAATTATCACATCACATGCCATTGCTTCCGACGTGCGGACACCGCCGTACACATATGAGTAATAAAACGATATAATGCAACCAGGGACGAAAATAAAGAAAGCCATCGCGCTCATGACCAACCATTTCTATTTTTATAATTCTGAAGTAATCGTGGGTGGAATATTTGCGTATGAAAGTAATTCTAGTTATTTTTAATTTTAGTTACACATTTTAATGCAAATTAGAATTAATTTTTAACAGTGTTTCAGTAGTGTAAAAATGTGTATTGAGTTGCATAAATTGAAAATTCGAGGTTAAATGTTAATTATTTAGTTTTACTTTGTATTTATTGCATTATTCGAGTTATTTTTAAGTTTAGAAGCACATTTTAATGCAAATTAAAATTAACTAAAGATTATTTTAGTTCCTCACCAGTGTGAAAATGAATATAGAGTTGCATACATTGAAAATTAGAGGTTAAATTTTAATTGTTTTGATTTTCATTGTATTTATTGTATTATTTAAGTTTAGCTGCACATTTTAGACAAATTACATTAATTCTAAATTGTTACATTTCTATTGTATTTTAAAAAAATGTATGTTAGGTTGCAAACTTTAAAATGTTAAGTAAAATTTTTAATTATTTTATGTTACCCTGTATATATTGCATTATTTATTGTACCGGTGAAAATTGCATGGTTACAGTTGGTTAATTTTTGTTGATGGGTCAAGGCCGTCGCGTTTCGAGTACCAAACAACACCATAAATGACCAGAATGACCAGAAAAACGTTTAAAAATAAATAAAACTTGCTTGCATAAAAAACTTTCCACGCCAAATATACTAAAAGAACTAATATTTCATAAAATACATGAATATACGTAATAAATGTCCTTTATACATCCATATAAAACATAATTTAAAAAGTTCTCCGCCCTTTAATCGTTACTGTACAGTAATAAAATGTTTTTGAATAAAAGTTAATTTATAACATTTTATAGCAAACAAGCGTAATGCTTCTTAAGCGTAATGCGAACACAAAAATGAGTTATTACGGGCATTTCTTACTTATTACAGTACAATGTAATTGGTTGGCGTGCCACACATTTATATTTGATTGCGATTTCACGAGTCGATGCGTTTTACCTTCGCTATATTGCTGGTTTGATGATGAATTATTTTGTTTGTTTACTCGTTTGAACACATAATATGTTGCATAAAACCAGGGTGATTCGCGATTATGTGCAGTGTTATAACTGATAGATGTTATGATTATTTATTTACATCATTTTTTGAATAAATATTTAAAATATTGTATAATTTGCAAAATTTGTTAGTAATATTATTTTTTTAATTAAAACAATTGTTGTGTTCGATATTTATATTTATCACAACTCCAACATTACGCTTAATAAAATTGTATGTTTGAGGTTATGTGTGTTTATAACCTAATATTTTAGAGTAAACATAAATTTATTATTAATAAATATTGATAGTTTAAGTGAGATTAAGTGATTTTTGATCAAGAACTAAAAGGTCCATGACATTTAGAATGAATAAAAGTGAAAGTAGATCAAGACAATAGTAGTCATTCATACAGATTTACAAGTTTAACCACATCCACTAACCAGATAATAAAACATTTTAAGTGAATAATGTGCATAAAAACACAGGTGTTATTTAAAAATCCTTTTGTATTTTTTAAACGCGATAAAACATTCACATCACACTTTGATTTACAAATTAGGAGAAGATAAAGTTTAAACTTATGATTAAACATTAAAAATATATTTGATTTATGTAAATTTATTGCAAATTTTTCCACAATTTTTGTATTTATAACATAGACAAAAATTATTATCTAGTTGTTAACCGGATTTTATTTTATCAACTTTTTTTATTTTGCAAATTTCTTTGGTTTTTTGATTTATATATTTTGTTTATTTACTGCAAAAAGAAAATTTATTATCGTTATGAATCAAGTTATTAACCGGATTTGATTTTTATCAGCATTTTTACGCTGCCAATTTTTGCGCTTTTTAGTTTTGAAGTTTGCAAGTTTAAAGCGTTGCTGATTTTATGCAAACATTATCTTTACATCATCTCCTTGATGTTAATCACCTCTTTCTCTGCGTCTTGGCTTTCACTTTTACTTTCCTGTTGATTTCATTTCACTACTGTTTGAATCTCATACTGTTTATTCCGATATTACAAAACTTTCTTGACTGGCTAACTTACTCGTATTCAGATTATTCTGATCTTGATTCTTGAAACATGATCTTTAACATTTGCACAAAATCAAGTCCAGTTAATGCGTTCAATTCATGCAAAGAATGAATTTGAACAATCTAATGATTGCTCATTAGGCAATTGGCCATATTAACAACGTGAACATTCGAATTAATGCATTTCTTCTAAAAATAACTCAATTACCAAGCGTGTTTATTTTATAGCCATTAATTTGTTGATAATTTTCTCACATTAGTCGATATTCAAGATCAAATCAATTTACACGCGAACAAAATTGTATATCAAACGTAAATTACGTGAATATTACGCGGAATTGAGTTAACTAGGTGTTTAATTAGCGTTTTTATCATGACTTGCACGTTTTGCATGCGTAGTCGACGTGAAAAACTTTAAAGAAAACTGGTTATTACTCTATCGGCTCAATTAAAATGCTATAACAAATGCTATGCGTTATCGGGACAAATTAGAGGGCAAACTAATGACGAGAAATGCGATTTTAATTATGTAACACCGGATGTAATACTTTTAACACTCAACTAACTACTCATATTTAGCATTTATTACTTAACTACCGAAAGAAAAAATATTTCGTGAACGGAAACACGATTTTTACACGAGAAAGTCTTTAAAATTAGTTTTGAGGTTAAAAAAAAACAAAATTTGAGCTTTTTATCGCTAGATGGCTATAACATGTGTATAACTGGTTGCTGCATTAATATTTATATAATCTAACCTATCATAACCTTGTTTTAGTGCAGATATTTGCATTTTTTAATGTTTTTGCTTTATTTTTTTGATTTCTTTCAAACATTTATGCTTAATTCTTTGAAATAAACTAATATTTGATCAAAACCTACTGTTTTCCATCAAATATTTGTTTCTAACCTTACTTTTTAACCTGTTCAACAAGCAGAAAGTAATATCCCCCCATATCAAAAAAGTAGTCCAGAAATAATGAGTTATAATTGTTTTGACATTCGACACGCTCGCTTTCGGCCCCTCGCCAAAGATGTTTTGTAATTAATCGCTGTATAATTAAATTACGACTACAACAGCGTGTATTACACTTATAATTACCTCTACCTTAGTTTTTATTCATGTATTCTGCCAAAGAATTAATTTCACCCTGGAATTGTCCGTCCCGAAATAATGCGCAATCTGAAAAAAAATGGCTCGGCACGAAATCCAATGATAAATCATAAATGTAGGCGAATGGCGCATTATTTTGATGAGATTATAGGTGGAAAAGTCGGCGCTAAACGAACCCAGTGTGATTTTATGCTATGCGATATTAATAAATGTGTTTTGGAGAGCCGCGCGCGCGCTCCTTCAACATAACATTGCATTTCGCTTTGTTTCCTGCTTTCCGGTCGTTATGTTGTTATGCGTTGCGTTTTATTACGTGCTCTCATGTGTGCTGTCAAGTGATATGATGTGTTTTATTGTTTTTCGCTTTTGGATTACGACTTAATAGAGTTCTACGAAATTTAATCGATTTGAGGTTAATTTAGGTTAGATTTTAACCTGAAATTAATTTAAAAGTTGTGTGTGGTTATACTAAGCAAACTCAAGCAACAATATTGAATAGAAATATAGGTAGCAACTCGCGCTGGATCAATATGCAGATAGTGTCGGTGCGAAGGAAGTTCCCGCCGATAAGGATCCGCTGGAGGCATTCAACAATCTTTGCGTTTTGCTTACGAGCATTCGGCCTAAAATTCATTTACATTTGCGTTCATTATCTTGACCGCCAACTTCGCCACGGACATATTGAGTGACCGTAACACTGCACTCTTTGCACACTTTGCTTTATGCACAATCAAGGTCTCACTGCGCTGTTTATTATTAGTTATTTATGTATCAAGGTGGTGTTTTAGTCGAAAAAATGCACTTTCCACTGAAAAAGTCGTAAATCTTGGGCTAAGGAAGTACGAAAATAAAAATGTATGCAAACTAGGTTATGTTTTGATAGGTTATGTTGAAACACCTGCGTGAGAATTAACATAACCTATTTTTATGTTGTTTTTTTGTTCGCTTTGAGTGCAAACAACACATTCTTGTTAGACTTTAGTGCATAATGTATTACGAAAACAAATTGCCACTCTTGTTTTGCGACCATGAAAGTTGCATACTATAAATACAAGAGTGAATAATTTATTTGCTAGATGCGTCGCCTGAAAAACGATACAATACCTCGTACCTGAATGTTTCGCGCACACAATGTGCGGATATTCTATTCATTTATTCTAATTCAGTCTTTCGCCGCACATTAATATTGTTTAACACACTCGCACGTCAACCGGAAATTTCTTTCCACAACTTCCACATGACCGGAGGGCGTGCGCTAACAGATCCATCATCAATCTCGCGTTAAATTACTTTAACATAAATAAATAATACTCGAGGTGAAGGAATGATGGAAATTTGGTAATGCTAATGACGTTTTTTTCTTTTTCGATTGAATCTTTCACAGGATTTGATCATAACGAAGCGGACGAGGAAAAAACGACTATGGCTGATTGCCGCCGCCATTTTGGTGATCGCCATCGTGGTGATTATCGCCATTTTCACATTCGTCGGCAGCGATAAGACAAGTTTAAGTGCACGAATATCTTCATCCGGTCCTACGATTTCACTCGAAGATGTCTTAGGTGGAAAATTCGGATCGAAAAGTTTCAATGCCTCGTGGGTTTCGGGTGAGTTGATTATCTGATTATTATTGTAATTATAACCTTGTAATTTCCGTTGTAGGACATGAATTGCTCTACAGAAGCATTGACGATGGCAGTATCATGATTTACAATGTTCAAACCAACAACCGAACTGAAATACTTCCAGGGAAAGCGCCGGTGTTGAAAAGTGCTTTCGAGTACGAATTATCACCGGATCACAAATTTTATTGATTGCTCATGATTATCAAAAGGTTTACAATTTAATATTAAGTTTTTGTTTGAATTTTAATTCATTAATTGTTTATTTATAGATTTATAGGCATAGTTACGTTGCGCAGTATTCCGTGGTGAATTTAAGTACGAAACAAGTGACCAAAGTGTTGGCGAATCAAGAACATGTCCTCCACTACGCCAAATGGGCGCCCGTAGGTAATGGTTTAGTCTACGTCGCTCGGTATAACATTTTTTACAAATCCGAAGCAGATTCGCCAATGTTTAAGACATTGACTGTTGACGGATTAGCCGGACATATTTACAATGGTGTTCCTGATTGGGTGTATGAAGGTATTGCAATATAACCTCAATTATTGACTATTTTTTTATTGATTTGTGTGTTACAGAGGAAGTTTTGAGTTCTAAAAGTGCAGCTTGGTTCTCCCCGGATGGTAAAAGATTGGTGTATGCTAAATTTAATGATACTCGAGTGCCATTGATGACAATTCCTCTGTATGGCACGCCAGGAACTTTGGAATTTCAATATACAAGAGCTATTCAAATTAGATATCCAAAGGTATTAATACTTTTATTATTATCTTTATTTTATACTTGTATGTGTCAATGCAATCAATAAGATTCGCAATTTTATTTTAAAGAAATTAATTATATAAAGAATTGCTAATAATGCACTTCAGAGCGCCATCTCGGTTTCAACTATTTAACTATACCTATGATTGAATTTCAATGCCAACTTTTATCATATAAAAAAAGCTGTCTTTAGGGTTTTTCCGGCAATAATTCAATTTTTTCTCGCCGTAAAAACCACCCTTGGACTTTAACGAACATTTTAAAAAAGAATTGCACAAATTGGTCAAAGCGTTGTTGAGTTATGCGCTTACCAACACATTTTTTGCAATTAATTTATATATTATAGATGTTTTATTCAATAATTTTGTGATTTGTAGCCTGGAACTAAAAATCCTGATGTGTCCCTACACAGTGTTAACTTAGAAGATGAAAAACAAGAAGTTTTGGAACCTCCAAAAACTCTAGGAGCAGAACCCATCCTTGCAACAGTCACCTGGGCGGATAATATCACAGTCTGTGCGATTTGGAACAACAGAATACAAAACGAAGCAGATATTATAACATATCAAGTCGATGGTGAAGATCAACACGTTACCAAAGTGAGAAATGTCAAAGAAAAAAGTGGTTGGTTGGAACTTTTCACTCCGCCGATATTTGACAAAACCGGAATGGAAATGGTTCTTATATTATCCCAGCCCCAGAAAGATGGCGGCGCCTATAGACACGTCACTTTATTAAATCGTACACCGAATAATGTATCAATGCTTCCTCTAACAAGCGGAAAGTTTGTGGTGACCGAAATTTTGAGCTGGGATCACGATAAAAATTTAGTTTATTATCAAGCAAATACTGAAGAAGATCCAGCTGTCAAACATGTTTATTCCGTTCATGTGCCATCGAAGAAAGTTGTGTGTGTCACGTGTAAAATGATGACAACTGTGAGGAAAACAAATTGTCTCATGAATGACGCCATGTTCAGCGCAGATAATTCTCATTATGTGCTGCAATGTGTCGGTCCTGATGTACCGGAAATAGCTATTATAAACGCAGAAAATAATAAGAAACTTATGATTTGGGAAGAGAATCGAGATTTGATTGATTTGGTACAGGAAAGACATGTCCCAATCACAAAACGGATGACTTTTAAGGTTGATGAAGGATTTACAGCGCAGGTCATGCTTAAATTGCCTCCTAATATCGATATGTCTGGAAAAACTAAATATCCTATGTTAATTAATGTGTAAGTAGACTAGTTTTACACGTATAACCTAAAAATTTACATTTTTGTTGTTTTTGTAGATATGGCGGACCAAATTCATTCCAAGTCGTAGAAAAGTTTAACCTCGATTGGGGCAGTTATCTCGCCGCGAACAAGAGCATAATTTACGCGTTCATCGACGCGAGGGGTTCCGGTTTAAAAGGGGACGCCATGTTGTTCTCCATCTACAACAAATTGGGCACAAAGGAGGTGATCGATCAGATCAACGTCACAAGGTGCGTCCCTGGTGTAGTAATTCTCGTTTTAAACACGTTTCTTTATTTTAAATACAAATTGTAGACAAATACAGGCAGCGCTGCCTTACGTGGATAGTAATCGGACAGGAATCTGGGGTTGGAGTTATGGCGGCTATGCTTCCGGTATGGCGTTGGCGCAAGACAAAGGCGGCGTATTCAAGTGTGGCATTTCTGTGGCGCCTGTAACCGACTGGATTCTTTATGGTAATCGGATTGTTTTTTATCATTTTGTTTTGTTAAGTATTTTGTGATTGTAGATTCGATTTACACGGAGCGTTTCATGGGTTTACCGCAGGTTAATCCAGAAGCGTATTACAAAGCGCAGCTGATGAATAAATACGAAGGGTTGCGTGATAAGATGTATTATTTGATTCACGGTACACTGGATGATAATGTACATTATCAACAGTCGATGTTATGGTCAAGAGTACTCGAAGAGCAGGATATTCTATTCAGACAGCAGGTTTGCATATATTTGAGGTTATAAAGAGTAAAAGTTATGTGTTTATTGTCATTTTAGAGTTATTCTGATGAAGATCATAGTCTTGCTTCAGTTCGCCCACATTTATATCACTCTCTGGAGCGTTTCCTGGATGAATGTTTTAGTTTATAAACAAAACAAAACAAAACAAACAATCTTACTATGCGTATTGTCGTAATATATTTATGTACATAAGATTTTAAAGGATAATTATATGTTATTTTTGTTAATAAATGGCGTATTAAAAACATTTTGCCAAGTATTTCACCCTTGAGATACACACTGCGCATGCGCACATTTAAATAAGTTCAATTTATTTCCGCTAGAGTGCGCTACGTGTACTGTTTGTTGTATTTTGATGCGTGACAGAACAGTTGTGTTTTGATTTCGCTGCGAGTCGGCACGTCACATATCAGTGCATAATTATGATAATTACCATGGTTACACTGGAACAATCAACAGTGTGAATGTAGAGACTAGTCGTGAGCAGAGAGACAATGGAATTTGGAATTGAATCGACATCGTTTGTCAGTGATGTGCGATAATATACAAAATTAATCGATAACGCGTCTGATATAAAGTGCAACAACTGCGGCAACAACGTTTACATCATCCACTTCAGATTCACACCGTGGATATTACTTCTTTTCTGCATTAAATTCTCAATAATCATAACATAATGGCAGCTTTACCGGAAAGTAAAAATATTTGGAGTTATGTGAACACAACCGGTGTTGCTCTCACCATCCCATATCTTGTATACAGAGTATTAAAATCTATTTATGTGAATAGAGTGTATGGAAATCTAGTTGGAAAGGTATCAATATAAAAACTTATAAAACCAGTTCTAATTTATTAATATTGTTTGTATTTTTAAGGTTGTAGTCATCACTGGAGCTAGTTCTGGTCTAGGTGAAGCTCTTGCACATGAATTTTACATGCATGGCTGTCAAGTGGTGCTCTGTGCAAGGAGAAGACAAGAATTGGACAGAGTCCGGCAGGATTTACTAAAACTACCCATGGATAGTCCAGTACTGCATCCAATAATTGAACCATTGGACTTGTCTGATCTTAAATCACTACCACAACATGCAGCCAACATTTTGGCAATCACAGGACATGTGGATATTTTGATAAACAATGGTGGTTTGTCAAACAGAGGATCAGTGTTGAACACTGTGCTTGATGTTGATATGAACATCATGAATGTGAATTATTTTGGTACTGTTTGCTTCACAAAAGGTAAGAAATAGGTTATGTTGCTTATATAGGTTATAAATGTAGATTTAATTCAAATTTTGTTTATTCATAATGCATTATGCACTATTTAAAGTTGAACTTTACACCACATTAATGTGAAAGTGAAAAGGTCAATTTTTCTATGTTATCATGATTCTTAATGAGTTTATTTCTATTTTAACACAGCATTCCTACCGAAGATGATAAAACGCAAGCAAGGACACATCGTCAACGTCAGTTCAGTGCAGGGTTTGATTGCAATACCGGCGAGGTCATCCTACAGCGCATCAAAACACGCCCTGCAAGGATTCAGTGATAGTCTGCGAGCGGAGGTCTCACAACACAACGTAATGGTGACTGTTGTCTCACCAGGATACATCAAGACAAATTTATCGATGAATGCGTTGACTCCCAGCGGTGAGAAACACATGCAAATGGATAAAAACACCGAGAAAGGATATGATGCGTCGTATGTGGCGCACGAGGTGCTGAAATCCGTCACGATGCGTCGCCCGGAACTGGTTATTGCTCCGGTTTATGTCAAAGTAGCCATTTTTCTGCGTAAGTATGTCCCATCGGTGTATTTCTTTATTATGGGGCGACGGGCTCTCAAAGAGGATTCGTAAAATGGTTAAAACCGGGTGGGTTTACCCAAAATTTCTGTAATAAATGGAATTAATGGATTCCATTCCAATGTTTTGTTAAACGTAAAACGTAGAAAATATTCATGCACAACACTAATTATTTGCATTTGCTCCTAGTTGGTTGTACCTGTTTGTTTGTTGAGTGTTTTGGACATGAAGGGAGGTAATGACATTGATAATGATAAAAGCCACATTCTTCTTATGCTAGATTCAACAGAATAATCCAGTAATGAAAGAAATGTGACACATAATAATATTAATTTAAAAAATACGTAAAACATCTATTTGTACTGATGGCTGATACTATTTTGAGCTCTGATTGGATGAGTAAAATATATCCTCTCATGGAGTAGGCGTGTGATGTCTTTTGTAATGTTTTGTCGTCGGTGCAGTCGTCAAAAATGCAAATAACTCATAAAAATGCTCTCTGATATTATTGTTTTCGTTTTGCGCATCGTTTTCAATCACATTCTAAGCTCGAACTCGAAACACCTATCAATAACATGCTATTTCTTCAACTCACTGCTCACTGCTTGAGTGTTTTTGCTTAGTATAGAATACGAACATTGCCTTTATTGTGTTGCGGCTAACATTTTCTGACTAAATTTCACTCGGGAAACGTCGACTACTACCGAAAAATACAATTTTGCATATGGATTTAATGCACTCGCGCGGCTCCATCGCGCAAATATCATCGCGGGGTTGTGGCTGCGTTGGGCTGGCTCTCACTAAACGTACGTATGGGACACTGGGCGCGCTAACTACTTCATGCTTCTGTATATTCTAAACGCGCTCAACGCCACCGCCGTTAATGTTACTGACCAATGGAGGATCTTACGCTTCGTGTCGTCTTTGCGCACAAGGACAACGGGTGCGGCGGCTGACATCGCGCTCAATACTGGCAGGCGGGAGAGTTTTCTAGGATCACGTTCAACCTGAACACAAAAAGTGAATTTTTAAGGTGAAAACAAGCAAAGAAAATGAATATTTACTTGATATTTAACACAATTATCAAATTGCCAGGAAGCTGTGTATAAACCTGTGCATAACAGAGAAACCACAGCCATTGGGGTGTTTGCCAGAGGGTTTTCTGGCCAAATAATACCTAAAAGTCAACATTTATTGACTATTCTTTAGTTTTTAAAGGTTTTTTACTTGTACTTACTACTAACAACAGATCCTATCCCTGACAACACTGCAGATTTATGCAGGCAATTGCCAACACTAATCCACCTGGCTGTTTCATCCCCTAGTTGTGCTGGTTCAATAACAATCACACAGCATCCTGCATCCAGAGCTCTTTCAAGCTCCATTGCAAATGTTTGATGTGCAAATTCGCTATCATAAATTTCCCGTATCACAGCCGCATTTGTCGAATGCAACGCTCTGAAATCCAGATTATATTACCTAATATTTTCAAGATAATACCGTGTTTTATACTACCTATCACCGCCAGCGTCCATCCTGAGTTAGTTTCGCACGTCCACCCTTTTTGAATCTCGTCTCACGTGTCCTGCGCGTTTTCGTTTTCGTTTCTTCGTCGTGTTTGTATCGTCGAAAATGTCGCCTACGGCTGACAAATTTTAACGATTGAATGATGAACGAAAACGCTAGGACTATTTGTAGTTATAGATATCAGTCGAGAGCGACGTTTGAGGTTAATCCGCTCGATTTTTAGCGATTTTCAACCTTTCCTAGTCTAATAATAACAATGAACGAACACAACGAAAAGCACGTTTGCCAAGTTATTAATGAAGTCGGATGAAGGCAAGTTACGTAACTGATTGTATTAATACAGACGATTATTCATAGCAATAATTGTGGGAATATTTATCTAACTAACAAATAGAATTAAAATGATGATTGAGTAGGATTGTTTTACGTTTATTTCAAGTAAAAATAGGATAATATCGGAGAAATAAATGTGACAAACGCGCTTTATTTGAATTTTAGTTCTTGACTTTTCCGTTGTCACAAGGTTGGCGCTAGTGGTAATTTTATTTTATTAAAATTTAAATTGTACATTAATATTACAAATAATAACTTATAACATATTGATACAAACAATTTTTACAAATTTTTATTTTAATTTGTTGTAGAATATATGTGAAATTCTAGTAATTTAATTAAGTTTATAATTTCTGTTCAAAAGTTAAACATAGGCAACCCAAACATCTTGTTTATATAAAACCAATGCTCAAACACTACTGTTCAAAGTTTCCGCTGATAACTCCAAATGGATTTAATTTTATTAGGTAATAATGTTGAGTTTTTAGTCTTTTACTGATATCCGGCTACCAGTTTTCTGCCAGTTTGTTGATCGAGGTGATACCTCGTTCTTCAGTGTGTGCGCTCGCGTGCATAATTATAATTCCGTTCCGTTCGGGTCGCGGATCGCGGATGATTCGAACCTCGCGTTGCGCACTCGCGCTCGCCAGCGCCAGTTCCAGTTGCAACTACGAAGCGGACGGACGCACGCGTTCGACGCGCGCGGCGCGACCACATTCTTATATATACGATTCGATTCCACTTGCTATCGCGACGAAAACCGCACGCATTCGTGCCCGACGTGCCCTAATCGCCACCAGCATAAAAAGCCACACACCAACTTGGACGCTTTTTCCTAATTACCACATCGTTGTACAATTTCGTGAGTGCTTGACAGTGTTTTTCACACCGAAATAAAATTGCATTTGCATAGAGTTTTTGGGTTATTCGAACTAACATTTATCGCATTCACACACCTGCGTGAAGTTGACTTGAATGTCACACAGTGTTGATTAAAAGTATTTGTGCACAGCGTGTGTTTACGGGCGAAGAGCAGCGGTGAAAAGTGCGTCGCCACACGCGCGCGCGCGCGCACGAATTCCGTTCGCGAAATTTCGCGCAGCAAGTGCAAGTGCAATGCGCACACGCACGCGTCGCGTACCTGCTGAATATCAGTGATTTATCAAAACATTCGTATCGCTCTCGCGCGCGCGACTCTACAAACACTACGTTAATTGCAGCAGCAGCAGCAGCAGCGCGCGCTCGCATTCTCTAATAAACACTTGCGCAAGTGCCTCGCGGTGTGCGGAGTGCGGTAAAAAGTGAAACGAACGCGACGGTGTGATGACATGAGCGACGGCGTCCGTTCGCTCGTCATCGTTAGAAAGGGACAATGTCGCACTGCAAGAAGTTCACGCCGAACATCTTCAACAAGATCAAATGCTCGAATTGCTTTCGGCAGAAAGAGGAGCACAGCGCCGAGGCGCTGGAATGCAACCGAGTGAGTCCCGCTATGATTATACCTTTTTTTTTCTCTCATCGCTTGTATTTTTCTTCGGACGCACATACCAACCACGTTTACAAAAATCACAAAATCAACCATATCAACCACACACACGGTCGAAATTACAAACGCATTTCTCGATTGTTTTGCGTTTAGATTTTGTGTGTTTTTTGCTTGCCTACGATTTTCTCGCATTGCTGCGTGCTGGTTACTCTTCTTTTCGTCCACATGTGCACATGCGTACGTAACACACACACATGCGCGCAGCCAAGCCGGTTTAAACACTACTAGTAATAAATAAAAACAAAACAAAATTTTTATCTACATCCATACAAATAAAATAAAACAAAAAATAAAAATGCAATGTTATGAATCAAGGTGCATCGTGCGGTCCGGTGGTTTGTAATCGTTGAATCATTTCATTCATTGCCGCTGCTTGCAAGCGCAAGAGTCGCGCCCGTTTACTATGCACACGCCGCTGCGCCGCGCGCTCGCATTTGCATCCGATTTATATCCGGCACGTCCAGCGCGCGCCGCGGCCGAGCAGTGGCCCAAGGTCAAAAGGTTAAGCAAAATCGAATTATCTCATTTTTGAGCGCGCTGCGCCGTGACGCGCGCTCGCTGCAGCAGCCAAGCGCTTATTTACGACCACTTTAAAAATACTAAAATGCACTCGCGCACAAGCATAACTCATTGTAAATCACACGTGCGGAAGGATTGCGGCGAGGAAATGCGAGGGAACAAATAATCGTTTGCGTAATGCAAGGAATGCGTATTGAAACCGCCCGGGGTTTACAGGCGTGTAAAATTGGATAGGTAAATATAAATATTCGCAGAAATTGGAAAAATTTAGTTTTTAGCAATTTTCACAGTAAATGAATTATGACGTATTATTTGAGTGTCATTTCAAGGTCATTGGAGGTTTTGACAGTTGTCATATGCGCAGAATGTCAAAATTACATAATTTGACATTTTTAAAAAGTTTTAAGAAGTTTACTACTTAATTTAGGATGGAATGTTAAAAGTTTGTTTCTTAAGTTGGTAAATTTAACGTGCAGAGTAATAAAATGGTTATTTGATACGAAATTTCAACTAGCAATCAATTTTATCGATCGGTAATTGTTAAAATGTATTTAAACACCAATATAAAGTTGTTTTCACAAGTTTTATGTAAAGAAAATCAAATTTTTGAGTTTTGTATTATTTATACAGGGTTTTCCATAATATTAGTCATCTTTGAGATTAAAAATAATTTATTTGTATTAATTTATGTGATAAGATTAAAATGAAATAATTTTCTGGTTTTTGATGTAATTTATTGCCGTTTCGAACAAGTTGTATGAAAATAATACGATGGAGCGTTGCAAGTCGGAAGAAAAGAGTGTGTGCGCAACAATAAAACGAATTTACAATCGAAAAGTGGTACTAAATGTCGCCAATAAAACGCGTCGTGTTTTACGATCCGCAGCGGAGAAAAATGAAAAATCACGTTAGGAGATTTTAATAAAAAAAAGACACAAACATGCTGAGGTTTAAATAAATCAACATTTTGTAATTATTATTCTCACACGTGCTGCTTTCAATGTATTGTAGTCATCGCAGTAAATAGTGGAATGAGGAATAATGCAATTTGTAGCTGTAAATCCGTGTTGTTGTTGTTTTTTTCGCGCCGGTCCGATCCAGCCGCGCCGATACTATTTGTTTTCTTTACGCGGTTATCGATATCGACGCTCGCGGCCAACCGGGCTATTAAGTCGTTCCCATTGCGCACGAGCATAACTACGTGCTTAATGCGAACAAATTTCCTCGTTCCCGTATTAATCAGCGCAGCGCCGGCACTGAAAGGGGCGACCCGCCATGCCCGCCGCTCTCCATGTGGCATCACAATGCGACTTAAGCCGTGTGCGCGCGCGCGCGCCGCGCCTGCACTACAGCGCGCTATAAGTCAGAAAGGCAACGAGCATTTAGTGCGCTTTAATAATGATGCAAAACGCAAATAAACCATCGCGAATGGTATCAAAGAGACGGCCGCGTTTGGTTCCATCCAGTCTACTGCATCTTACATGCTCCCGATTTCTTGTTATTTGTTAATTCATCAATGAAATTTTTTTATTAAAATTTTTTTTGTTTTTGATTGAAATTTTACTGATTTGAAAGAGAAGAGAAAATGTGTTTGGAATGCACACCGCAAATTGTCAGCCGGCGATGTTTAATAATACAGAAAAAAGGGAAAAGTTTCGATTTCTATTTGAACTTTATTGCTTTCGTTTGCTTGTCGTGTCGATACATCACTGCCGATAGGATAGGAGCGAGTTGCGCGTGTTCGAGCAGTGAAGGAAACATCAAACATGCTCATAAACGCGCACCGGCCGAAAACTGCGCGTTTCTATCGTATCCAGATTACATCTTAACTTCGACACGAATCTTACGATGTGATAAAATCTCATTAGTTTTTATTTTTCTAGAAAATATTGCTGAATATCCGGCCGAATAGTCGGTTTGGTAAAAATTAATTTTTACTGGATTAAAGCGGCATAAAACTTAATTCTTACACTGAAAATATTATAAATGTGATTGTTTGTATGTTTGTTACTCTTTCAAGCAAAAACTACCGAACCGATTTTGATAAATTTTAGGTTAGGGATTGTTTTGATCCTAAAGAATAAAATAGGCTACTTTTTGTCGCAAAAATTTAATTTAAAGGGTGTAAAGTAAGGGTTTATAAGTGGTATTCCGTTAAAAGCTTAGTTACAATTATATTTTTGGCTAAACTAAAAATAAAACATAGCCTTAACCCTCTAACGGTGTATTAGAGACATAACCTAATAACAAACTACTAAAAAATGTGATAAATGTGAGTATTTGTGTGTTTGTTACTCTTTTACTCATAAACCACTGAACCAATATTAATAAATTTTGGTATAGAGATAGTTTTGACTTTGGATAATAATATAGACCACTTTTTGTTGCAAGAAAATAGCGTAAAGGGAGTAAATTAAGAGAAATTCGGCTTGGAATCGGCCGAATATTCGGTTTGGTCAAAAATTAATTTTTATTTGAATAAAGCGGCATCACAATATTTACACCCATTTTTTTTATAAATTAGCCATAGATTAGGTTTTCTTTACCAACTAGTCAGCGACTATTCGGTACATTTCTATAGAAATTGCCTGAACTTGAAGTCAAGTTGGAGTTATTTTAGGTCGCAAAGTGAAATGGAAGCGACATAATGTCATTGTCGGCATGCCTGCGCGTCCTGATTATATCAATAGATTTCGACCCGAGTCACTTCGCTTCGTCCGCGTGCTGCCTTGCACTTTACACCGCGCGAATGTGTGCGTAGAGTCATTGTCGCGACTGATATAGTAATGTCGACGCGGCGCGCACCGCATAAATCGAATAGAAAGTGTATGAAAAGTTAATGAATGTACAAATATATCAGCCGTAAGTAGTACTCGCCGCGCACAATGCCCACTATGAATGACATCGCTCGACTGCGAAACGCAAACATAATTCAAGAGCAAAAAATCACCGCTTGAAGTGAAATCCAAATTAATTTACTAAAACCAACTAGAAGTTCCTGTTTTCCAGCGTTTTCTACATGGATGCACGTTTTTGTTGTCAACGCCATAAATGTACGCCCATGCCCGCACATTAATGGCATTAATTTCCTTTCGATTCGAATTTCGAGCGCCGTACGCATGCGCATGCGTTTCCGAAACGAATAACCGCCATAAACGCCATCAATGCGTCAACTCACGCGCGCGCGATTTCTAATCGATGCTTCACATTCGGCCATCGGCCAATTAACTAATAAAAAGTATTCAGGAATGGCGACATGTGCGCCTTGGTAGATAATGCCCATGTTCGTGAATGATGATGAAAGCAAACAACAACAACAACGCACGACTTGTGTGAGCAACTTTTTCTTCAACGACTTTTTGTTTTTAATTAATGCACGTCGCGCAGACATTTCGTAATTGGTCATATCTGTCGATCGCACCAACGAAAGTTATTGATGCGTTTCTCTACGCCGCAAGTATTATGCTAATACATGATTAGTTAAATTTGCGTTTTCGCCCGACTTCCGATCGATGATAATCACATATATTGTTTTTGATCAACTTTCGTTTTGTTGTATTTTGCGTCCGGATAATGATAATAAACGCAGGAACGTGGTATGGTTTTGATTCGGCTTTGGTTGTCGCGCGGTAGCCACAGCGTGCACGGGAAGATGGAATAAAAGGTGTACGGAATAATAACACACATGGACAAGTCGATGGAATGCAGGTAGTAGGCTGGCGTGCCGCTGATACTCTCTCGGCGCATTCGGCCGCGCTCGGTTTCTGTGTTTCTGCTGCAAGCTGGTTCCCTTCGTGCGTTTCGCCGCCGCGCGCACTTCTGTTTTTCTGAGGCTGCGGTGTGTGTGTTGTGTGTTTGCCCACTGCCCAGTGCGGTGCTTCTGTGTGGAGTGCATGCACCCATCTTTATTACCATTGATGATTATAACCTAAAAAGGGCGATTGAGTAACCTGCAAGCTGTCAGAAATCAATCAGAACCTAAAAATCATAATTTTAATATTGATTCTATAAATTTATTGATTTGTATGTTTGTTACTCTTTTAAACAAAAACTAATGGATGAATTTTGGTAAATTTTGGTATGGAGGTAGTTTGGACATTGGAGAATAACATAGACTATTTTTTGTTGCCAAAATATAATTTAAAGGGTGTAAAATAAGGGTTTAAAGTTGGTATTTCGTTACAAGCCTAAATATTACTATATTTTTGGCTGTAGTATTTTTGTATTTTTGTCTAGTAACAATCTATACAAAATTATGATAAATATGATTTTTGTATGTTTGTTACTCTTTCATTCAAAAACCACTGAACCAATTTTGATAAATTTTGGTATAAAGATAGTTTAGACTATGGAAAATAACATAGGCTACTTTTTCTCCCGAAAATATTGTTAAAAAGGTGTAAAATAAGGGATGA